TTTTTTTTTTTTTTTTTTTTGTAACAAAAGATTTAAGTAATAATAATTTGACCATGCTTCCATCAATTTAAATGGTCTGCCAGATAAATATTTTTTAAGATATGTGTGACGGGCCTTCTATGTAACAATGAATACATTGCAGACTAATGTGCTGACAAGCTCCAGCTCTCTTTCTAGCAGCTGAATTCTTGGATAAAATCATTTTGCAGGGTATGAGCAATGCAGCTCTGAAAATAGCATCACTGCAAAATGAAAGATGGAAGAAAACTCTACAATGCTGATTTATTTCAATGAAATTTCCTATTTTATGTTCAGTGTCTATTTTTATGTTTTCATCAGAATTTTCATACCTATTAAAATGTAAAATTATAGAATTTGTGAGCTTCAAAGCCCCGGTATAAATTGTTAAGAGGGAAACAAAAGCAAACAACAACAACAACAAAACAGAATAATAAAAAATAAACATTCACAATTTACATCATAAAGTATGCAAAACAGAAAAGTGCTTTGTGGATCCAAATAATAATTTGCCTTTATCACCACCACATGTGCAAAGATGCTCACAAAAAGAAAACACCAATCAACAAGCTGTTTTGCACTGATCTTTAACTATGTTTCTACTAGAAGAATGGGCTGCAGCAGTACTTTTAAAAATCTGTGACTTTATAAATCATGCATAACTCTCTGCATCCAGACATGTGCTGCTAAGAAAACACTAAGAGGTGATATTGCACTTCCCTGTCGTACCAAACACCATCTTTTGACTTCCTTTCCAAAGCACCACTATGAAGGTCCACGTCAACAGATTTTTCCTAATAGTGACAATTTTTAAATAGACTGTAAAATAGAAATTTCAAATGAGAAGGAGCCTGATATTTTACTAATGAGGCTGTATTTTCTAATCAGCATCAGCTGTAAATTTGATATGCTTCCTTCACAGATTTTAGGCTAAAAAATGAGACTGTATGTATGTAAGCGATGTCAAACTCCCCATCTACACTGGTAGAAACAGATGAAAAGGACATATTGTAAATATCTTCCATCCACATTCAGTCACTGATTTATACGGCAGGCAATGCTGCGTACCAAGCCCAGCAACATTCTCACAAAGACCTACACTGGTTAAGTTCACGTGAAGAAACCAAAAACACAGACACCTCAGTTGTGCAAGCCCTAATTCATATGACTCATACAGACTTCCCTGAGCTGTCCTAATGACACCAAAACAGTAAGGATGATTCAAGTGAATAAGAAATAGGAATACACAGCTACACAGCTTCTTTTCTAAAAACGTCCTTGGCTATTATGCCTGCATACATACGTGCATATATATATACATATTTATAGTATGTATATTATTCAGTCCTCTGTATATTATTTTTATCTTCAGATGTTTTATACCAATTTCTCTAGTTAGCAGATCTGTCTTGAACGTGATGTATAATTTATTCTCTACTCAATTTATTCTCTACTCAAATACTCAAACGTATGGAAAAACAGAGAATGAGTAAAGAGGAAAATTAGAGCAAATAAAATTAGCTATATCCAGAATGATGTAATTGCAGAAATAGCACTATTGATATTGAAAGCTTTTAGTCCCATGTTTGTCAAAAATCAAAATATTTGGCTCTGTAGTCAGCCTTACCTGGAAGCAGTAGATCCATCTCTGTATCAACTGATACTCATTATCAGTAGAAACATCAACACTACTAAGACATGCTGTTCCAAAAGTCTACTTAGGAATTTTAGCATTTTTTAAACCAGTTTTTAAACTCCAGACTATCTGTTTTGGTGCAGGAGAGATAACATGGCAGTAATAGAGTCCCATGCCACCTTTACCAGGGAACATGCAAAACTACATTCACATGACAGTATATTTTCCACAGAATTCTGTATAGAAATGGATGATGAAGAAACAAATAAGCCTATAAAGAAAGAAGTGCATCGTGTACAGTGTTTGTAATAGAAACACTGTGGCTACAAGGACAGGAGAACCGTATATAATGGCATTCTCACGTATCTGCAGTGTGCATGTACAACTGAAATATTTGGAGTTTCTATGTTAAAAAAGCATACATACTAAATTAAGAGCTAATGTATAATAGATGTCTGATAGACAAAACAATGAAAACAATACCTTTTGGCAAAATCTCTAAATGCATATTATCAGCAGGTAAGTCTAAATGATCTTGATCTAAAGATCACGACATAATTATTCCTATTCTTAAATTGTTCATTAAAGGAAGTTTTCAATATTTGCAGTGAAATGTTCCAACAAACGAAGCAACAAATGTGTTTACACCACCTGCTCAGATTTACAATGAGAAATTAAGACTCCCATTTCATACAGCACACACATCCACTTGAAATTCTCTGTACATTGCTGGGCAAATATACCAAAACCTTTTTGCCATGTCAGAGGAGTAAAATGAATCCAATGCCCGAGAGTCTATCAAACAGGCATTGCTTAAACATTCAGTAATTTTTGCTAAAAATACATCATGCTGGTGTGGTTCTGTATTGGTGATACACACTTCTGAATGCTTTAGTAAAAGCATTTGCTGATGCAGAAGAAACAGATGACTGAAAGAAAAGTGATCGTACAGTGATGAGGAGATGAAATCACAAACTACCCAGCCTTCAATATACACATTTTCATACAACAGTTGGGCAGTGCTGCTTCCTCAGCATAACTTTTCAACTACAAAAAAACCAGACTGAAAATAATGGGAAAAGGCAGGTTACTCAGAACACAGTATCAGCTAATCTTTGCTTCTTCAATTATTAATATATCTTCTTTTCTTCATTTTCTTCTCCTTCCTTTTTTTTTTTTTTTTTTTTTTTTTTTCCCTACTATCTTTAATATTCTTGATATAAAATCCTTCAAGGGCATTCACTTCTCTTTGTTCTTCCCCATTTGTGATCTGCAGCAGGAAATAAATCCTCCCTAACTGTGAAGACTTAAAAGAGATTCAGAAAAATGTTTTCTCTTTCACCTGTTACATCATTACTTCTGCAAAGCAGCTCTCCCTCTATCAATATGTTGTGCTGCCTCCTAAATTAATCAAGCTTTACTTGCACTTCAGTTTCAAAAGGAGAAATGTTACTTTGAAGGACGGACAGGTGCTATATATTGTTTCTATAATTTTTTCAGTGGAGTAATAATGAAGAAAAAAGAAAGCTAACAGTAAGTTATTTGTGTAGGACACGAAGATGCTGCCAACACCATATTCATAATTACTTAATAGTTTATAATTAGAATTGCATTAATATAACATGCTTCCCTGTTGACCATTCCTATTATCATGACTGGCAGTACAGGTAAATTCTGAAGGGAAACGGCAAACACAGGCAGACGGGAAAAATAATTTTAAATAAATATCACATAATGTAATGCTTAGAAGTGATCTGGAGTTCTATTCAAAATTATACAACCTTCTTTTTCTACATTCTTTTTATTTTCACAGGGTTTTGTATTTCCCTCTCTTAAAATCAGATAAAGCTGTGCAGAAGATCAGGCGTGGTTGGTTGTGTATGATACACTTTGGCAATACAGAAAGAAGCAATCAGACCCGGGAGCTCAAGCACAGGGGAAGCACTGATTTAAAGCCCCAGCTTTAAATCTTATTTTTATATGATACGTCTTCATAAATAGCAAAAGATTATTTTCTTAAGATATCCCTTCGATGAAAGGCTACATGTATTCAATTTAGAAGACGTGGTTATTTTACACTTATCTTTGTATTCCCCTGTAACAGAACTGAAACCCAGAACCGAATCCAATTATAACAACCTACCAGAAGTACTAATTGGTGAAAATGCATTGCTGGTAATTGCTGTAAACTCATCCTTCTGTACGGAGTGAACGAGGGCAATAAATTTCACCCAGCGTTAAACAATGGGGAAGACTCCCATCAGCACTGTTTTTTTCTTATGTAAAATGCATTAAAGTGAGTCATCCGCTTAAAAGTTCCCTACTGATATCTTCAACCCAGCTCAGGCACTGAGGTAAGTGCTTCAACATAATGATAATAATTATAATAATAATAATAATAAAAGCAAACAAGGTGTGGAGGAAAAAAATAAAAGGAAGAAAACATGGTCATTAGTTCACAGACCTTATTTCAATCTGTACCCGAATCTCAAAGATGATGAATTGGATTATTTTTGCCCTTGTATTGCCTGCCTTCATTATGTGATCCTCGCACGACCCTGGGCAGCAGTTTCATGCTAATAAGTACACGGTGCTTTAAAGATTGCTGCCTCCAAGGCATGTCAAAGCAGGTTGTGTTCGCACCGACTCCCACCTTCCCTCGCAAAGGTGCTTTTGGGAAGCGCGAATTCCAAGGCCGGCGCTTGGGCTCGTGGAAGGAAACGGTCTCTTAGTTGTGTGGCTTTAAGCTCGCTACAAAAGCCCGGCTTGTGCACATGCGTGCGCACACACGAAACCACACGAACAAACACATACATAAAACAAACCCCGGCGCTGTCAAAACACTCCCGGTGCGCGCTGGCGTGCGGCCAGGTGCGAGTGAACGGAGCTCCGGGCAGAGCCGTCCTTCCTCTCAACTGCCGGCAATATCGACCTGCAGTTCATTTGTAACTAAAATCACTCAAGTTTTAATATATTTTTTTTCTGGGTTTTTTTTTTTTTTTAGAGCTCCCAAACTCCTGCCAGACCGAAATAACCCCGGTGGGAGGAGGGGGCAGGCTCCGCGTAACTCGAAACTTTCCTCCCGGCGCGGCTCGGCCGCCGGGCTGTGTATATTTAGTGATGTCGGAGGCGCAGCCTTCTCCTCCAAAAGTCCGACTGCCACTGGGGGATGGTTCCCCCGGAACCCCTCTTTGCCCAGCCGAACCCCTGAGGCTTTCCCTCTACGCCGCTTCCCACGCAGAGTTACTTTCAGCAGCGCTCGGTACCTCTGTCCCTATCGCCGGGAATGCCCTCGGCCCGGCGCTGCCCCCCGCCCCGTTCCCGGCGCTGCCCCGGAGACACTTACGTGGTGGGCGAAGGGAACGGGCCCTCCGAGGAGTGGTTCATCACCAGGGACTGGAAAAGTGTCAGGCTAAAGACCAGCAGCCAGCCAGCAGCCATCTTCCTGATCGAAGATCGATCCCTCTTTTTTTTCCCCCCAAGTCGGCGAGACGGTAATAATAAATTCAATTATTGTGCGTGCCGGGTGTGGGGGGGCCGCCGGTTTTTAAAGGCTCCTCCGCTGCCCCCGCCCGCCCCCTGGCACAGCCCAGCGATGTGCAGAGAGCGCGGCCGAGGGTGGGGAGGAGGAGGAGAAACGATGGAGATCGGTGGGTGGAGAGGGGGAAGAGAGGAGAGAGCGAGAGAGGCACTCCGCTCTGTTACTCCGGCAGCAGCTCCAGCTTCATCCGATCCGCCGCCATCAGCGCTACTTTTGTAACGGATCCCTGCTCACTCCGTGCGTGTGTCCGCTTCCCTGATTTATCCCCGATTGCGGAGCAGCAGCAGCGGCGGGGGGGGGGGAAGGGGAGGAGAAGGAGAAGGAGAAGGAGAAGGAGAAGGAGAAGGAGAAGGAGAAGGAGGCGGGGTGGGGGCTCCTGAAGGGAGAGGAGAGAAAGAAGAGTTGGCGGCGGGCGGCTTTCTCCCGGCTGCTGCCTTCCTGCCGGCGGCGGGGGCGGGCGGCGGGCGCTGTGCGGCCGCGCTCCTTACATGGAGCGGGGAGCTCCGGGCCGGGCCGGGCCGGGCCCCCGGGAGGCGTGCCGCACCTCCGAGCTTCCCGCGCGCTATTTTTAACTGTGCTTCGTGCCTCTTTTAATCCCTATCCCCCTCCTCCTTCTGGAGGAGCAGCAGCCGCACGTCCAGCAGTGTGCCCAGCCTGGGGTGCGTTCATATACTCGTATGTATATGGCCCTCTGGAAGGTCCTCCCGGTGCGGGTCCCCGGGGCTCGCTGCAAGTCCCCAGGATCTTTCCTCCTCAATCATATCTCTAGCGTATGTACTTTTTTTGCAGAGCCCTCGGGCGACTCAGATTGCCTTTCCTTTATGCTCACATACACCCTTTTCTGCGGCTGCTATACATTTTCCACACAAAGTAAACCTGGTAAAGGTTGCTTAGGTAATTTAATAAAGCAATTAAAAGTTCACTAACAGCTTTTCACTAAAATCCCTTTTCCTTCTTTCCTTCTTCCTTCCTTCTGCATTTTTGTTATTAGTTCAACAGGTGGAAATGAAAGAGCAGAGACACTATTCTCGCTATTTTCACATCCATTGTATCAAAGAGTGCCAAAATCTTGAATGTATTAACTCACAACAGCCTCTGTAAAGCAGGAAAGTGTTCATCTCTCTTTTAAAGGTGGCAGAAGGACCAAAGCTGAGACAAATGGAGAATTGAGTGTTTGCATTGCCTGGGCTCCACGCCAGCATGATATTTCAGTTGCAATCTGTAAACCATGCAGTCACTCATCCACATTGTTTCTGGATTGGAGCTGGCACTTCAGAGCTGGTGGGAAGAACTCCCAGTTGTCGTCACCTATCCACCTACCTGTAGGCACGTAGGATTTAGGGTTCGGTTGCAAATCTAAAATAGCAATTTCTAAAACAGTAATGCAACCCGTAAATTCATACAGTCAGAGTAGTATCTACAGTCCAGCCCCGGGTTGCAACAGGCCTTTCTGCTTTGCCACATCATGTAGCAACACTTCAGATCCAGCTATAACTTCTCATCCAAACACATCTGCTGTGCTAACAGGGTGCAGGGGCACCAACGATCTCTGCTATAAGGTGCAGTGGGCAACTACAGAGCCACAGGTATGGGGTAATTTACTTGACAGGCATACTGCTTCATAGGGTTCACTGAAATGACGTCCAAGATGGGGAAAAGACTTCGCAAGTGGCATAAAGGATTGAAGAAATCCATGGGGCAAAGTGTCTTAAAATGTGGTGTGGTTCAGGTCATACGAGGCTATGGCAACTTCTTTGAGTGTAATTTAAGTCATCTCCTCCCTCTTGTGGCCCTCCTCTGTTTAAGGCTAGTACTACCCAATATATAAAGGGCATCAGTTCATTTCTGAACATGAATATTCCCCCAAAATTGCTGGTTCTGCTGCTTGCTAGCATCCTCAAGGTCAACATGAGTTCATGCCTGAACTCTGCTGGGATCTTCTATGTTCTCCTATTAGAATACCTACGGCCTATTTGGTGATGGATTAACACTCTAACCTTACCCAGTCAGAATAAGGAATGGAAATGCCCCACATGGCAACTTGCCCAACCGAAGAACACAACATTCCCTCAGCTCATCTCTGTCCAGCAGGAAAAGTGCTCATGTCAATTCTCAGCTCTCTTCCCCATGTAGGCCCATATGCTGCTGGCCAAGCTATGGTCACGGGGCTGGCAAGGAGGTGCTCTCTACACCTCCCACTGAAATGGATGTGCAGGAAGGATGCATGGATTGGTCAGAGCTGAGAGGGTGCAAATGGCTGTGCCAGCCCACATGGGAAATGGTTTGGATGGGTAAACAAGAGCGCTCTCACTCAGACATACTGTTTCAATATAAAATACAGGAGGCAAAGAAAAATCAAAGAATGGTAAAATAAAATATTAAATACCAATGTAGAAGGTTATACAGACCTGCTTTTTTTTTTTTTTTTTTTTTTTTTTTTTTTTTTTTTTTCCACTAGTGATGCTGCATCCATCATTTATAGAGCTCCTTAGGGCAGTAAGTATTGTGATTTATAATTCTAACAAGTTCTTTACTACAAGAGTGGTGAGGTGCTGGAACAGGCTGCCCAGAGAAGTTGTGGATGCCCCACCCCTGGAGGTGTTCAAGAACAGGTTGGATGGGGCCCTGGGCAGCCTGGTCTAGTATTAGACATGGAGACTGGTGGTCCTGCATACAGCAGGGGAGTTGGAACTTGGTGATTCTTGAGGTCCCTTCTAACCCCAGCTCTTCTATGATTCTATGAGCAGCAGAAACTCATGGCTAGCGAAGCAACAATGCAATGCATGGGTGGTTTGGAGCCCCATCTAGCAGGGTAAGCTCCAGCTTGTGACTGTTTCAGCAGTGCTAATACATTGTAATGATAGCTGAAATGCAAAAAAGGAGCTGGAGAAAAATACTGCTTTTTTATTGCAGCACTGTTTGAAACATCAAATCTACGGTGTTCTTTACTGCTGAATAACAAGACTCCCTGCAAGGTACTAACCTCACAATGAACTCCACTTAGGTGTAGGTGAATGCCTCCCTGGAGCATGCTAAAACTCAGGGAAGAAGAAGTAGAAGGGTGTCAATGTGTAGCTGCAACATGGAGGGGGAATGTTCAGGTTAGCTCTGAGAAAGCTGACTGAGGCACAAGAAGCAGCAAGAGCTGGAACACAGAGCTCAGCACCTGTGCCACCTATGTGGTATTCATGGGAAGGCTCAGATCTGTGATACACAACTCAAGTTCAGCCTGCAGGCTTTACAGGATTTACAGGCAAGCGTGGACTGGAGCCTAGTTTTGAGAAAAGCTGGAGTCAAATAACAATTTAGCTTCAAAATGAAATGAGTCTTGAAGCTAGCTTTTGAATTGTTGTCCTGATTTTAATCTGAAAATCTGGAAATCATTGTTATGTACAGAGAACAAAAGGGTGTAGGAACTCCAGTAATACTGTATTATTTACTATTTTCTCACTCTTTTGTTCCACATTATGCTTAAAATGCTTAAAATACATTTACTTCTCAGATATTTAATGAAGATGCATAATGTTTAGAAATGCTGACCTCATCATGACCTCATCATGACTCATGGGTATGAATAAATGTGCTCCAATGAGTTCCTGCTGGCTTTGACAGGAAGGTGTGACTGACTTAATACATAATTTTAGCAGAATTAACGTTCTCAGCATCTCTTCATTGTCCTGTAATCTAGGAAAATAAAAAGGTAATTTCGTCATGAAATTTTGAAAAGTCATTAAAATCTCCTAAGTGATCAATTTCTTAACATTTGATTATTAGAATATTTACATATGCAGACACTTTTAGAACAGTATTTCATATATATGGTTCCTACTTCATGATAGTGTTGCACTGGAGTTATTCTTATAATCCATCTTGTTAAGGTTCCTGAAGATCTATTACAACTGACAAGACTTCTTTTATAAGCACTTAAATATAGACTTGAATGACAAACCACAAAAGTAAATCTTTCTTCATTCTTACTTCACCTCATTCTAAATTTATTACCTGTCATATCTGACTGGGATCTTTCTTTGAAGGAGCATAGGGATGACAAGGATTGATATAATGACAGGGATCTTACAAATAATTTGCTTTGCACCTACTGGAATTACTGAGAATCTTTCAGTTGACCTTGATGGTTCTTATGCCAGAAATAGAAGTTCCAATGGCAAAAATAAAAAAAATTATTCTGCATCCAAGTTTTCTCAATTGTGTATCAGTAAGAAGAATTAATTTATGATCAAGTTTTTTTTAATTTAATTTCAGTTTCTGGATATATTATGTATATTTTCATAAATTATTTTCACTGTTATAAATCCAGCATAAGAGGTGGTACAGTTAGATTTTCTGTCTGTGAACCACTTAGAAAACAAACAAACAACAACAACAAAAAGCAGATTCTATATTAGAACTAGATTAAAAGTTTTATTAATCTTGTTTCCTGCTTGTACTTCAACTGTTTCTCCACTAATCAGTGCTGCCATAAAACCTTTGGATAAAAGGTTTTGACTTGACATATACAGAAATCAGTTACAGCACAGAGTGATTCAGTGTATTTTTTTAATATTTTTTGTTTAGATCAAACAATGTTGTAGTGGTTATTATTCTCAATGAGCACAATCTGCAATGCAGTAAGCACACTTGAACTTTGTGGTTGAGATAAGTATTTTGGTAGTTGGGCCCACAACTCTCACTCAGCTGAGCCAAACTTTGCTCACTGAAATACTTTAAAATATGGCAAGGTCTTACTCACTGCCACAGTATCACCAAAATATCATCTTGTTCCTGGCACACTGTATCTTCTTTATGTATTTATGTTATACAGGGCAGGAAGGGCTAATCTTGCTGAATAATTTTTACTCTTTGATTGTGCAGGGGTGACAACGAGAGTGCAGACTGCCTGATCACAAATTCTAATTTAAGGGAAAAAAATACTCCTATTTAAAAGTGCAGTAGATGAAAATGCAAGATCTGGCCCGTTGCAAGTGAGAGAAATTGTTTTACATATCTGAATTGAATAGACTTCTGTATTAGAAAAACTTTATGAGTTACATTGAGTTGAAAGGTAGGGTTTGGTTGTTTTTTGACAATGCTGTTAAATCAACAGTAACCTGGGGGTAACTCTGTACTCAAATTTGTAGCCAAGAATCAGAAATATTCTCTCTCTGAATACTGAAGAAATCCTTGAGCAGTGTGCCAGACATGTAAAACTTCATCCACTTAAAAAGGAAGGATAACATAAATTTCACTCAATTGTCATTGATTCTGGTACGTCTTCACATGGCACTGTAGTACAATGTGGAGATAGAGGTTTGATTTTGAAAGCCT